TTAAACATAGTGACTAAAATATGTAATTTAGACCTTGTTTTTTTGCAATGCATTTTTATTCTTAAATTATGTTTGGCTAATTACCTAAGAGAACGTTTTTGATGATTTTAAAGAAAATAAGATTTCAAATGAAATTTCCTGTTAGAAACTCAATACAGAAGAAAGATTAAAATCTGGGCTGTTCTGGTGGAATGAGGATCGGAAGCAGTCTGACCTCAGGTCAACTCATTCCCTCCAAATGTAGAACCCTAGGGCTCCAAAAAACATAATTTTAAAATGACTATTCTAAGACTATACTATTGACAAAAGAGAGACAAAAATTTATCTGTGAATACGAAATAATACCTAATCACCTGATTAAGTTGCCATTAACTTTAGAATTCTGCTTTAATCTGTGGAATTATCAATGCTTTTTTCTATATAGTTTGGACAGTAAAAGCCAACAAATAATATAAAAAGGCAATAAATGTTGCAAATCAAGAAAATAGTCCTTCATTTTAAATGCCATTAATTTTTATTTGATTAGGATTTATTTAATGTTTATGTGCATGGCAGTGTGCTGATTATACAATAGCAGAAATAAATAAAATACCACTGGATTCTTGAGAAGGTAATGATATTCCCAACTTTTAAAACTCAGTAATGTTTATGTTGGATATAACAAGTCATGGTCATCCTGATTAGCAGGAGATTTTTGTGTTTGCCAAAACTGTGATTCAAGTTGTGACACTAGATGTTCCTGCTAAAAGGGAAGAATAACCTAGCTGTCCACCTTGCCCCATTTCCCTTAGTGACATTTGTTTCGTTTGCCTGTTTTTATACTGTCATTATTTCAAACACATATTAATCAGAAAGGAATCAAAAAGTCAGGTAGTTCTTGCCAATGGATACATTAGCATCCATTAAACACTGCACTACTCTTTGAATGTATTTTCATCTTCATCTTAGAAAGCCTAAGAGATTAAAGGACTAATTAACAATTACTAAGAGGCTTGTATATTTTAATTATCTTGCCTACATTAACTCAATAAATCTCATTAGAATTGCAAGAGTAAGGATTATTACTTATTTTTACACATGAAGAAAACTGACTAGGATTTAAGCACCACAATGACAGGAGGTTTGGATTGTTTTGTTCACTGCTTTATTCCCAGAACCTAGAACATATAGTAAGCATTCAATAAATATTTGTGGAATGTGTGAGCGAATTGATGAATGAGTGTTCAATCGTTAACTTACTGTAGAACATAGATGCAACTCTAAGTTTGCTGACTCCATTCTCTTTTCTCTTACGCAATATTATTACATCCTCGGTGATTTTGAGAGGTTTTGAGAAGTAGAAGCTGGAGATCCTTATCAGTGTAAAGAGCATGAGGACACCACAGAATTGAGTTGAATTATTGAGTCCCCATTGCCTCACCAGCGATGCATAAAACCAGAATGCAGGCACATGCATGTGCACACACACACACACACACACACACACACACACACAAACATCAAAAACTACATGATTTGAAATAGGAGGTGTCTGAATTTTTTTATATCCACATAGGTACTGGTATTTTTTAAAAATATTTAGTATGAAAGCCTAAAAATCCATGGCAGAGGCATATAAAGA